AATAATAATAATAAAATAAATGGTGCTGGGGAAATTGGATCTATACATGTAGAAGATTGAGTATAGACCCATACATCTCAGTGTGTATGTAAACAAAATCAAAATGGATCAAAGAGGGCCGGCCGGGGATTTAGCTCAGTGGTTCCACCCACTACCTCGAGAGCGCAAGGTCCTGAATTCAATCCCCAGTACCAAAAAAAAAGGATCAAAGATCTTAATGTTAAAATAGAGACAATCTCCTGGAAGATAAAGATACAACTCTTAAAGACATAGGCAAAAACTTTCAATGGCACAATAAACGATACCAAGAAGAAACAAGTGGGATCATAACAAATTAAAAAGCCTATGCACAGCAAAGGAAATAGCTAATAGAGTGAAGAGACAACCTACAGAATCGGGGAAAACAATTTTGCCAGCTATTTCTCAGACAGAGGAATATAGAACATATAAAGAGGGGCCGGGGATTTAGCTCAGTGACACTGCACCTGCCTGGCAAGCACAAGGTCCTAAGTTCAATCCCCAGTACCAAAAAAAAAAAAAAGAACTCAAAAAAATTAGACTCCCCAGCCGGTCATGGCAGTGCATGCCTAAAATCCCAGCACTCAGGAGGCTGCAGCAGGAGAACTGCCATGAGTTCAAGGCCAGTCTGGGCTCTATAGCGAGTTCAAGGCAAGCCTAGACTACACAGCAAGACCCTGTTTCAAAAACAAAACAAACCAAAAAGACTCCCCAAAGTAAAAGACTCAATCAAAAAAAATGGGCAGCTGAAATAAACAGATACTTCTCAGGAGTACAAATGGCCAATAAATGCATGAAAAACTGTTCAACATCGCTGCCCGTTCGAAAAATACAAATTAGAGCTACACTGAGATACCACCTTAACCCCAAGAGCATGGCTATTATCAAAAAAATCTAATAATAACAAATGCTGGTGAGGATGTGGGGAAAAAGGAACTCTATATTGTTGGTGGAAATATAAACTAGTACAATCACTATGAAATTCAGTGTGGAGATTCCTCAAAAAATGAAAACTAGAAATTCCACTTGACTCAGCTATCCTCCTTCTAGGTATAGTCCCTAAAGAGTTAAAATCATCATATTATAGGGATGCTTCCACACTCATATTTATAGTGGCACAATTTATAATAGCTAGATCTTGGAAACAGTATGTATGTCCATCAACAGATGAATGGATAAGAGTGTATTTGTACACAATGGAGTACTACAGTGGTGCCTCGGTTCATGAACTCAATTTGCTCCATGATTCTGATCACAAACAGAACTGGACAAGAACCAAATCAAATTTTCCCTTAAGGTCAACCTTGAACCTAACCTTTGAATTTGATTTGGTTCTCATCCAACTCAATTTGCAACCAGAATCATGAATCAAGTTTGCAAGCCAAGGTAACTTGAGGCATAAATGGGCAAATGGATGCAACTCAAGAACATAATGTTAAGTGAAATAAGTCAGACATACAAGCTTAAATATCACATGGTTTCTCTTATATAAGAAATTCTAAATATATATAATACAAATAAAGTGCAAAATAGAAGAGAGGTAAATAGAGTAGGGAGAAGTTCAAATAATTCCCCAAATGATCTATTTTGCTGTTTCAACAATGTTTTAAGATATATATTAATTTGTTTCATTTATACTACTAGTTTCTCTAGTTCATTGAAAAGTTTCTCTAGTTCACTGAAAAGTTTTGTGATATGTTTCTTGGGTTTTTTTTGGGTTTTTTTTGTTTTGGTACCAGGGATCGAACTTGGGACCTTGTGCTTGTGAGGCAGGCACCGGAACCACTGAGCTAAATCCCCGCCCTATGTTTCTTCTTTGTAAGAGATCTTTTTTGTCTCTGAGAAACTACTTTGAAGATAATGATAAATAGTGTATTAACTACAATTAATCTCTTATTTTGTTATGAATTTTTGTGTTTTTTTAATTAAAAAAAAAAAAAGAACTGAGTGGCACTGAGCACAATGGCACATGCCTGTAATCTCAGCACCTGGGGAGACTGAGACAGTAAGAGTGCAAGTTTGAGTCCTACTTGAGCAACTTAGCAAGAAACTAAAAGAGGAAAAATAAAAAGAACTAGGGATGTAGCTCAGAGGGAAAGTACTCCTGGAGTGGATCACCAGCACTGAAGAAAAAAGAAAACAACACAATTGGGTGGCCATTCTCAATATTACAAGGTGTTTATTCCAAAAATATGAAGAACCCAAAGTAAAGATCATTTAAACATTAAACAACCATGGGAGCATTAAATTCTTTCATTTTTTCAGATTTAGAATTTGATGTTCCTGTAAACTAATATAATCATTATGGAAATCAGTATGGAGATTTCTCAAAAAACTAAAACTAGAAATTCCATTCAACCCAACTATTCCTCTTCTAGGTATCTTCCCAAAAGAGTTAAAGACATCGTATTACAGTGATACATGCATACCCATGTTTATAGCAGCACAATTTTTTTTTTTTGTACTGGGGATCAAACTCAGGACCTTACACTTGCAAGGCAGGCACAGTGCCACTGAGCTAAATCCCTGGCCCAGCAACACAATTCTTAAACTATATGTTTCTTTTTTTTTTTTTTTTTTGGTACTAGGGATTGAACTCGGCTCCTTGTGCTTGTGCAGCAAGCATCGAAGCTAAATCCCCAGCCCATGCACAATTCTTAATAGCTAAATCTTGGAAGCAGCCCATATGTCCATGAACAGATGAACCAGTAAGGAAAATGTAGTATTTATACACAATGGAGTAGTACTCTACTGTAAAGAAGAAAAAATTTGAGTCATTTGTAGGAAAATGGATGCACTTTGAGACCATAATGTTAAGTGAGATAAATTAGACACACAAGCTTAAATATCTCATGATTTCTCTTATATGAGGGATTCAAAATATTAATAAAGGGCAAAATAAAAGATAATAGGGAAAAGAGATAGATCTTTTGCAAAAGGAAAGGGGACCAAGAGCTATAGGGAGGGGGGGGGAGGAAAAGAGGATGAAAAAAAGAATTACCATGTGTTAAGTACATGTACCAATCCCCCATGAGGAATGTAATCATTATGCACTGAAAACACATACTAATAAAAAAAGTAAAAACTGAAAAAAAGAATCTGACATTCCTGACTGATACAGTAGGAATGAATAACATCAGGAAAAACTCAGTTTCAACTGTTATCAGCTATAGTCTCAAGGTTCAAAGATATATTAGGGAGCCAGATGATTCCTACAGCAAGAAAAAAAAAGTCTTTTTTAAAGATACAGTTTTAGCAGATCAAAATTTCCTTAAGAGGTAAAAGTCTGAAACCTCAGCAAGATAAAGAACTCAAGAATCATATCAAGAATTCAGTTCTGTGGCCGGGGATTTAGCTCAGTGGCACTGCGCCTGCCTCACAACCACAAGGTCCTGAGTTCAATCCCTGGTACGAAAAAAAAAGAATTCAATTCTGAATCTCAGAAAACCTAAATTGTTCTAGTATATAGCAGGGAACTGGACCTGGCCTTATAATCTACTCCTACAATGTTCACATAGCTATTTGCTACTTGCCATGTGCACACAGTCAACTCCTGAAACTGGTTAAGGTGATATGTAACCGTATCCACTGGTTAAGAACAAGGGTCTCAGGCTCTGGTAGAACAGGGGAGGGAGCAGATAGAAACAAAGGACATTGCCTGAGAGAGGGCTATGAAGGAGAAGTTATGAGGGAGACAGAAAAGAACATAAATCAACCAGAAAGTGGCATCAGGACTGGCAAGGGAGGGAGAGGTGGCAAGGACATGTGTGTGGAGCTGGGCTGACTGGCCATGAAGCCAGACTTGTACTTGAAGCTGATTCAAGAGGGGAAGGAAGGAAGGAAGGAAAAGTGTAACCCTAGACCAGAAAACAAGAGGATTTCCAGGGGAAGATGTGTCTCTAGATCATTCCTCAAAGTCCCCTGCAGTTGAATTCCTGATTTATGACCATTTCCATAAAATGTAGTAATTCTCTCTCCCGAGGAGCCAGCACACCATCACGACTGGGAAGCATGTCCTACATTAAACTTAAGTCAAATGAAGAAACAATCTTTGCAACTCCTAACAAGCATACTTTTTTTCCAAGCGGTATCTTCCTAAGGTCGTAACTAGACATCTCCCCCACCCACAGTAAGCAAAGGTGTAGGTGGCTCGACTGTATAATCTTGGGGTTCAGAGGTGGAAACATGCAATTAAAGATAAAGTGCTGCACCTGAGACAATCCAGCACCCCCCTACCCAAGTCATTCCCACACACACGCTCCTCTGGCCTGTTTGTCAGATACACAAAATGTACCCAATAGGCCAGTAGTAAAATCTCTACCGGGTCATCTCTGCTAACTGTGGAAAGCAAAAGTGGAAAACTGAAGACACAGTTTAACTTAAAATGAAAGCAGCTCTTGTACCTTGAATGCTTCTTTTAAAAAAGGCCTTACATCCTTCACAGGACCAGACTCCATAGTGATATCCGGACGCATAGTCGCTGCAGACTGCACAGAAGTGAGCATCCCTTTTGGAGGCCGGACTAGTAACCGGGCTGGCACAGCTGCCTGTACTCATCTTCCTCTTCAGCGTCTCCCTGGGGGGCAAAGCAAATACCCATTGTAAAGAAAAGAGAGAGGGAAAAAATGGCATGACCATTGTCTAACAATCTTTTTGCCCTTCAGTGCTCTGACAAATACATTTTAGGAAATATGAGAGTAAAGCCATTGTGACTGACACCGGGTCTACACTGCTGTGGGCAATGACAGATCTCAAAGTGGTCAGGTGTGGTCATGCCTATCTCCACACTGAGCATGCCCAGAGGGCTCTGAAGGGGTCCCGAGGCTCCAGGGAGAAGTGCAGGCACCAGGGGACCCCAAAATATACCTGGGGCCCCCAATTTGCTACAGTATTTTTCCTATGGAAATGATAGACATACTGTCTTACTGATTTATAAATGAAGGGTCTTGCTAAATTATCCAAGCTGGGCTTGAGCTTGCAATCTTCCTGCTTCAGCCTCTTGAATGCTGGGATTACGGGTGGAATCCGAGGCAGGAGAATAGCAGTAAGTTTGAGGCCAGCCTGGGCTACAAGGTAAATTCAAGGGCAGCCTGAACTACAAAGCAAGACCTTGTCTCAAGAAACCAAAACAGGAAAAGAAAAAAAACCCAATCAGAAAAATAGATAAATACATGAAATAAAATTTAAAATTTATTTTCTCAAAGATTTTTTTGTGTTCTGGGGATTGAACTCAGGGCCTCATGCATATCAAGTACAGGTTCTACAACTAAGCTCTACCCTGAGCCCCTGATTTCTCAAAGTTTTATGACATCATTTGAAAGTAATGAATTTTAATATCCAGTATGCTCTAATTTAGTCTGCTGGTTATCTCAGTTTATCTCCCCCTTCCCCTTGTCCCTATACCAACCTTCCCCTCTAAAGACATAGATATTGAGAATATAACAATTAAACTGCAATAATCTATCATGTTACTTTGCATTTAAAAAGTTCAAATATTCTTAACTTCAGGAAATTTCAATGGAAGCCTACATTTAAACAGTTTCCCACCAATCTTTATAAAAAGTTATTTCAGTTCATTGTTTTAAAAGCTTATACCAGTTATCGTTTCAGGTTTCATATGGCTAGTTTTTCATTTAAATTTTAAATACTGCCACATGGCCGTGAGCTACAGTTCAGAATGAAGACTGGATTTACCTGTTTATAGGTAAGGTGTGCTCTAGTGATCTTGCTTCACACCAAGGACTCTTTTGAGGCTCTGCATACAGAAGTGATGACTGACAATGGATGGCTAAAGGAGAGAGGTGCCCCGGAGCTGGCCATAACATATTTGGGCTTGTGGTCTGCCGACCAGTCCCACCTTCCAAATTGCTGGCACCGCCGGGAATGCTATAATTCATTACAGCAGGGCTATAGAACGTCATGGTCGAATATTCATGCCGGTTGTCTACATAGGAAGAAGGGATATATATAGGGCCATGCTCCAGGGGGAGAACAGACTGACTGCAGTTGTAGGAGGCAGGAGAGTTAAGGCTAGGTGGTGAGTTTTTGATATCCATGTCTTGAATAGGTAACAGCTCAGAAAACTCCTTGTGAGAAGGGGCACAAAGAGACATTATAAAGTTCTCAAAAACTCACAGGCTGGAATGATAGCTATAAAGAAAAATAAAAGACATTAAGTTAGAGCTATAGGAGTAACTATTAAAAAGTGTTCAAATATTTTTAGTTTTGAAAATGTACACATTTGTATGGTATTATAAATATATCCATAAAGATATATATATATATGAAAATATTAATCACAGAGGGGTGGGAATGTAAGGCATGGAACTCTCATTTTCTACTTCATTCACTTCTTTATTACTTTGTTGTTGTTAACTGTAAGAGTTTTTTGGGGGGTTTTTTGGGGGGGGTACCAGGGATCAAACTCGGGTCCTTGCGCTTGCACAGCAGGCAGCGAAACCACTGAGCTAAATCCCCGGCCCAACTGCACGAGTTGTAACATGGTAATTTATGATTAAATACCCTTTAAGATTAGAAAGCACAGAACTACATCACACACCAGCAAGTATGTTTTTCTAGAACTAGACAAGCTTATCCTAAAGTGAAAATGACCTAGAATAAGCAGGTAAACCCTAAAGGAGATCAGTGAGCAGAACTAGTATTAACAGATACTCATACACATTGTGACTCTCCAATGAGAATTAGCACATAAACAATAAGAATTAGCACATAAGTAGACACATCAAGGTATCTGTTACTCAAAAACTATTGCCTCTCAACTTTGGAGGTGCCCTTCAATATATCCTCTGTGATAAACAAAGCAAATTCATTGACACTGTATTTTAGAGTGAGCTCAACGGTAAGCTTTCTCAGTAGAGTGATCTGGAGAGGCACTCAAGGAGGAAGAGGCCCTGCTGTAACTTCTGGCCCCAGCACAAGTTGGCGGTGTGGGTGAGAATCCAGCACAGAGCTTCTCCTAGCTACAGGTCTAGAACAAGGACCCTCTGCAACCTTGCAGCCTCAGTGTGACAGGCCCAAAAGGGCAACACTGCAAAGTCACTCATTCAGACTGCTTTGAAAGCCACCTGCACATGTGTGCCACAGGTTACTGATGCCAGCTGCTTGCTGGCAATTTGGAGGGGGCTTGTCGTTTGCCCGGCAACTCCAGACCAGCCTGGCCCAAACAGCCAACACTGGCAAAAATAGTTTTCAACTTCTATTAGAAACAAGGGGCTAATCTCCCTGCTTTTTTTTTTGGTACCGGGGATCGAACTTGGGTCCTTGCGCTTGCAAGGCAGGCAGCGGAACCACTGAGCTAAATCCCCAGCCCCTAATCTCCCTGCTTTATGAGGAGAATGCTTAGATGAAGATGGAGACCAAAAAATCCATTAGGAAAATGAGCAAAAGACTCAGACAAAATTTAAAAAGGTAAATGGCACTTAAATACAAAAAGATGCTGAACCTAATCTGTAAAAGAGACAAATCTATTTGTACCACTTCTCAATTATCAAATTCGCTACCTGACAACACACTTCTGCCCAGGCTGCAGAGACTGTCTACAACTGTGGTAAGTATGACAAATGGTTCAATCACTAGGAGTCTTTGCCAATATATGACACACTGCACATGTTTTTGCCCTGGGGACTATGAATCCTCCCCCCTCCCCCCAAAATTTTAAAATCCTTTGTTAGCATTGCAAATTATCACATCAGTTTCTCCATCTGAAACTTAGTAATTAAGGTTCAAGAGTAAAGAGTTAAGCCTATGCCCTACCTTTTTGAGAAGATCTATATTTTATTCCAAGGTCCAGGGAAAACTTCTATACAAAATAATACCCCCTGATAAAAGGCTTAGAAAAAAAATTGATAGATAAACCTAATAAGACAAAATGTTACAATTACTGCATCTAGATAGTGGCCATATGGACATTCATTATAAATCTTCAACTTGTAAATCTGAAATTTTCCATAATGAAAAGCTTTGGAGAAAAAAAATTACAGATTAAAAGTGGAAACTTTTTTTTTTTTTTGAGAGACTGAGTCTCACTCTGTAGTTCAGGCAGGCCTTGAACTATGTAGCCCAGGCTGGCCTCAAACTCATGGTGATCCTTCTGCCTCAGTTTCCCAAGTGCTAGAATTACAGGCCTGCAGCACCACATCTGGCCAAAAGTGGAAACTTCTAAGAAAAGGTTTGAATAACTGGAATAATACAATCTAGAAAAGGGAACAGTGACCATTATTGAGGCTGGTTGAAAGATAATTAAATAAAGGCACTTGCCTGGAGAATTCTCCATCTGTTAGGGTTTGGGTCTAGATGTCCCCCCAGAGCCTCGTGGAGTTATAGATAGCTTTTTCAGAGGTGGCTGAATCTACAGTGTGTCTGCTAGGATTAAGGGCGTGTGATTACTAAACCACTACACACTGATTGGTTTGGCACTGCCCTAATCCCAGTAGTCTGGATAAGATAAATGCAGCAGTTAGATACTGTTAAGGTCCCCTTGTTGCTTTTGCTGTCTTCTGGCCACCATAATCTGTTTCTCCTCGGTGATGCCCCTCTGTCAAGCCACCCTGCCTTGGAGCCAGCTAACTATGGACTGAAACCTCTACAAACCGTGAGCTAAATAAACCTTTCCCCCTTTAGCTTTGGGTGTCAGATATTTTGTCTCAGCAACGAGAAAACCAAGACACCATCCTCAGTAATTTCACCTGTCACCTACTTTCACATGTAGGTATTGTGGCTGTCTGGAGCTCCAATTCCTCTGGATATTTTCATTGAATGCTCACCCCATTTGTCCTCAAAACACATTCTAAATATGCCCACAAATCTTTAACATTGGTCCCTTCAAAAGGGGCAATCAGGGGCCGGGGATTTAGCTCAGTGGTTTCACCGCCTGCTGCGCAAGCGCAAGGACCCGAGTTCGATCCCCGGTATCAAAAGGGGCACTCTAACAAGTCCTTAGAGTAATGGCTAAATTTGGTAACCCATTTCTAATGAATAAATTATGGCAAAAGGATGATGTGTGACATCCAAGACTACATCATAAAAGGCACTGCAGCCTCTTCACATCTTAGACCCCTTGATGGGGAAGAAGTTCACTGCCATAATGCGAGGATCCTCAACCAGACCAGGGAGATCTCTTGCCAATGGCCTGTAATAAACTTCAGCCTCCAGCCAACTGCTATGTGAACAAGATGTTTTAGAAGCAAATCTTCCAGCGCCAGTCAAGCTTGAGATAACTGCATGGCTGACATTTTACTTCAACCATATGGGAGGATATACAGGTTAGCTGCTCCTAGGACCCTGAATCTGGGAGAGGGAATATGTGTGTGCTGTCTTCAGCTGCTAAATTCCGTGATAACTGTCAGGCAGCAATATATAATCAATACAGTACCCAACATATAATTCATCATTTCCCTCCCCAAACTACTCTGCATTTCCATTTTGTGTTAGGCCTGTTGCAGTCATCTTTCACTTCTCCCCTCTACCTAGTTATTATTAATCACCAAGGCACATGGTTTGGGCCTCGATGCTGCCTTTCCCCCATGTCTGCCTTTTGCTACCATCTTAAACCAAACTCTCATTACTTATCTGTGCATCTGCAATAGGGTCCTAACTGCTCCTTGTCTCCAAACAGCTCCTTCTCCAGGTCCACAGAGCTGTCAGATTAACTTCTTTTTCTTTTTTGAGGTTTTGGGTATGGAACCCAGAACCCTCATACCCAAGGCAAGTGCTCTACCATCAAGCTATATCCCCAGCCTAGATTAAAATCCAGCTCTCTTCTACACTGTGCCTTCTGCCGAACACAGTTAAGCAGCCACACTCTTCTAGTATTCAAGGCATTCCCTTACTCAACCCTCATGTCACACTATCTCCTGTTACTTTCCTACAGGAAAACTGCTGTGCACATAAGAAATAGGCAAAAGGGCTGGGGATTTAGCTCAGTGGTTCTGCCACTTGCCTTGCAAGCCCAAGATCCTGAGTTCAATCCCAGGTACCAAAATATATATCTATATCTATCTCTCTCTCTCTCTCTATATATATATATATACACACACATACATATACATATACATACATACATATACATACATATATACAAAAGCAGAATCAACCAACGTGAAGATAGGATATCAGAACTAGAAGATAGGCTTGTGGTTGGTGATCATCAAAGTGAAAAGCCTCTTAAAAATAGCAAGTGACCATGAAAAAAAAATCCAACAGCTGCTAGAAGACGTAAAGACAACTAATATGAGATTAACTGGAATCAATGAAGAATCAGAAGATAGCACAAAGGGCATAAAAAATTCTGTTCACTGAAGTAATAGCAGAAAACTTTCCAAGCATGGAAAAAGAATTTGACATACAGGTAAGTGAGGTACATAGAACTCCAAATGGTCATGATCAGAAAAAAAACTATACCAAGACATATAAGATTACAGAAATTCAACACAAGAACAGAATATTAAAAGCTGGTGGAGAAAAGAAATAAATCACTTATAAAGGAAAACCCATCAGAATCACAGCAGACTTCTCAATGCAAACCCTTATGTCAAGAACTCGGAGTGAAGTATTTCAAGACCTAAAAGAAAACAAGCTCCAACCCACATTGATGTACCTAACACACAGAATTATCTTTCAAAACTGATAGAAAAATAGATACTTCCATGACAAAGAACACCTGAAGAAATTCATGACCACCAAACCAGGACTCCAAAAAGTTCTGAAGAATATTCTAGAAAGAGCCAACAATTCCAAGAATCCCAATAGTGTGAATCCACCAAGCAAAACAAATAATTAAACAGAAGGAAAAGAAAGGTAACCAACAACAGGAAAACAACATGCCAAGGATAAGTCAACACATATCAGTTATAACCATCAATGTGAACCCTCTCAACTCACCAATCAAAAGAAAGAGATTGGCAGAATGGATCAAGAAACAAGATCTGGACCGGGGATTTAGCTCAGTGGTTTCACCGCCCGCTGCGCAAGTGCAAGGACCCGAGTTTGATCCCCGGTACCAAAAAAAAAAAAAAAAAGAAAGAAACAAGATCTAACAATATACTGCCAATAAGAAATGCATTTAACTGAAAAAGAAATTCATAGACTGAAAGTCAAAGGATGGAAAGTAATACTACATGTGACAAGAAACT